AGTTTTCTCATTTGAATTGTTTTACATTTTACATTTGTCATTTCGGGGCCTTTTATAGCTGACTATGTGGTATGGATTTTGCTCATTGTTGAAGGCCGTACGGTGGACTATAGTTGATAACTTCTATGTCATTTGGTCTCTGGTGGAGAGTTGTCTCATTGGAAATTATACCACATATTCTTATTTTTTTGAAGAACAGTTTATAGTGTAATTTGAAATTTGTGTTCAAATAGGCTGTTAGATGAAATATATGTGTAATTTATACATTAATGCGTTCGTTAATCAAAACGGTGAATCGAATACTTCTTATGTCGATATACAAAACGACCCATTTCTCTTATTTCAACAAATCTGTCGTTACAAATTGAAAGGATGTTTTCCGTCCGTATGTACTAGCAGAGACATGTAATACAAGAGATTCACAACTCGACGAACTTAGTTGACGTATATTATTGCGGACACCAGTGAATCCTCGCGAGGTCTCCTTTGGTAATTTAAAGTATTAAAAGTACTTAAAGTACTGATTAATGTTCTAACAAACACTGTTATGAAAACAGAGTCGGCTTTCATGTTTGTAATAATTATTATTACTAAATTGAAATTATATAATTTGGGTTCATATTTTATTACTATATTTAATTTTTTTTTGGTTTAGGATTGTGTTTAAATTCTTCACTCTTGGCACCCTAAACATGTTTTTGATCAATACATGTTTAGATTTAAAACATAATAATGTCATGTAATGTCTCGTGTGTTAGACTAAACGTGTAATATATATTTTGCTTAGTATTTTTACCCATGATTCATCTACCTTGAACAGGTGGGGCTGCTAATAATTATAATTCATCACAAACAGACTCCAAAAGGATTATCAAAAAGGTAACTTGAAATCAAAACATTATGTACCTAAGCGCGAAAATATCTAAACACTAAAAATCTAAGCGACTTAATACATAAGCTCATTACTTAAAAAAAAAAGGTAAACGCGTTTAGATAATAAAAGTGTTCAGATGATTTTCACTTCTCAAAACGAGGGTCATGAATGTGCTTAGGGTTGTGTTTAAGATCTAAACGCTAATTTTACAGTGTAGATAAAGGTATAATCTAAAAGATTATAGTATTGTATTTCTATTTAATATATTGTATGTTTTAAGCCTTTGAAATAAAGTTAAGGGTATAAAGGAATTATTCTGTCCTCTCGAATTTCCTTTTAAACGTTAAAGTATTTTAAAAGGTATTATGTGAGTAGTTTGCACAATTATAAAAAAACACTATTGTCTCATTTTTTTTTATAAAAGGGGAGACAACTGAAATCATTGGAGATACTACTCTTTTCATTGAAATAAAATCATTGGAGCTACTACTCCTTTCATTGGAACTAATACTTGCATAACTTCATAACATATTTCTTGGATAGGTGTACCGAGACAAAAAGTACATGCAATTGCAGGTTAAATTTTTCAAACTTATTCATATGTAAGTCTCATTTAAATATATTGCATTATTTTATCGTTATTTCTAATAATTGTGTCATATTTTATACGCCTTGCAGGCAAGTTTTACGGTTTATAGAAATCATCCTTAGAACACGACTGTCAATTTATAAGTTTTAGTATTTATAAAGTATGATGAAAATAGGTGTACAGAATACATACTCAAGTCAGACTTATTCAGATGTAGGTATATCTAAATAAGTATTGCATAGTCTTATTCTATAACATATTTAGTGTTTCCTATCGTATACGTGTTTTAAACGAAGTTTAGAGGTCAAAAGAATTCATCTTTTCTACACAACTATGAAGTTCAACGTAAAATGATTTGTGAGAAGTGTCCACAGAAAATTTAAAAAGTTTTTGGTTGCAGCCTTAATTTATCAGACTTTTTTTATATACATGTACGTGTAGCTGTATTATAATAAAGTGTTTTATAAGTTTTATTTTATCTATGCAGGGGCGGATTCAGGCGGGGGCGTGGCGGGCGTGCGCCTCCTCCCCCTCCCTAAAATTTGCAAAGCATGGATTGTCCTCCGCTTAATAAAGAATATTTTGATAAATTTACCTTAAAAAAAAATTAAGTTTGCCCCCACTAACCTAAAGTCCTGGATCCGCCCCTGCTATGTATATACAATGAGTCTTTTCTTAGGGGACCGAGGGTTTGGCGTTGGCGGAGTAATTGTATTTGTAGTAGTTCTGCAAAAACAGCCGTTGGTCGCGTTTCTGTCAAATGAGTACTCACTTTTTATATCCGGAATAAGAGTATTGACATACAGTAAAAACGTAAACTATATTCAGAACCATCTATATAGGCTGTCTCGTGTGTTCTTGAAAAAATATGTTGCTGTATTTATCGGATAAGAGTTTCTTTATTAAATTAAAATTGCAAGCTAACTAAGAGCCTGAATCGCTCAACTATCAAACATGAATCATTGCATTGCTGGTCATTTTACAGTTCTGACCTATCATAATTTTCGAGATAAAAAGCAAAACTCAAACATTACTAAAAAATCGTCATTTTAGGGAGATCTTGAAAGGATCCATTCTTACTTATGTAAGGAGTCATTCAAAGATGTCGGTCATATAAGTATTGTGTAGATCTAGTATGGATGAATATTTATGATGTCTACAGCTAGGCTCTATCTTTTTTATTAAAATTTGCAAAATAAAAGGCAAAACTATTAAAATTAGTCAGAAATCGTCATGTAAGGACAATAACTCTAATATTGAACCATCTGATTATTTTGGTTAAAATAGGTAGAAATTGAAATTCTGAGCATTTTTGTGCGTGGCTGATATATTTCTATCTATTATGGTTTTTAGATATTAAATAACTGATTCATATTACTCCTATGGTTTTTTTTTTTAGCCATGGTGGCCATGTTGGTAAAATTTCATGAACAAAAACACAAACAAACAAGAGTGCACACGCTGAAATGTCTCGCCTTCTTTACTTACCGTTGATTTTATGTTGATAGTCCTAAGTATAAAGCTTTACTACAAGTAACACATAAACTTAACATGATCCACGAAAATGAGGTCAAGGTCAGATAAACCAAAGGAGAAATACATGTACACCTTACAATCATTCAATAAACCAAACATAGTTGACATATTGCATATAGTTTCTAAGAAACAGTCTTAACTAAGAAAACTTAACATTGAACCATGTAAACGAGGTCAAGGTCAGATGAACCTTGCAAGACAGACATGTACACCTTACAATCAATTTATGCATTAAATATAGTTGACCTATTGCTTATTGTATCTAAGAAACAAACTTAACCATGAAAACTTAACATTGACCAATGAACCATGAAAATAAGGTCAAGGTCAGATGATACTTGCCAGACAGACATATACACCTTACAATCCTTCCATACAACAAATATAGTTGATCTATTGCTTATAGTTGAAGAAAAACAGACCAAAACACAAAAAACTTAACACTGAGAAATGAATCGTGAAAATGAGGTCAAGGTCAAATAAAACCTACAAGACTGACATGTACATCATAAAATATTTCCATACACCAAATATAGTTGACCTATTGCATATAGTATTAGAAAAAAAGACCAAAACTCAAAAACTTAACTTTAACCACTGAACCATAAAAATGAGGTCAAGGTCTGATGACACCTACCAGTTGGACATGTACACCTTACAATCATTCCATATACCAAATATAGTAGACCTACTGCTTATAGTATCTGATATACGGACTTGACCACGAAAACTTAACCTTGTTCACCGGTCTATGAAATGAGGTCGAGGTCAAATGAAAAATATCTGACGGGCATTAGGACCTTGCAAGGTACGAACATACTAAATATAGTTATCCTATTACTCATAATAAGAAAGAAATTAACATTACAAAAAAAGTTGACTTTTTTTTTTCAAGCAGTCAGTGAACCATGAAAATGATGTCAAGGACAATGGACATATAACAGACGGAAACTTAGTAACATAAGGCATCTATATACAAAGTATGAAGCATCCAGGTCTTCTAGCTTCTAAACTATAAAGCTTTTAAGAAGTTAGCTAACGCCTCCGCCGCCGCCGGATCACTATCCCTATTTCGAGCTTTCTGCGACAAAAGTCGCAGGCTCGACAAAAACTATATAAATATTGAACTCCATATATATTAAGGATGTCCAGAAATACTTTTAAAAGGACCTTCTAAAATAAAGCAAGTTTGACCGATTATTTGTGAAGGTCATGAAATATTTATCAATTATGGACTTTTGACGAGGTCAATACGTTATATATGGACCTGTTCAGATTATATTGACCGAGGACGAAGTATAAATAGAAACATAGCGTCAATATACTTGAAAATAGAAACAAGGCTTCAGATGCATGAAATATTATTTGAAACACGTGATCGTAATATTAAATGAAAACAGGAGAAAGCTACACCATATGTAATATTTCAGGATATCTTGAATTCGAATTATGAAGGTACTGAAATACTTAATGAAAAAAATGTTCTGAACATAAATTAGGCCGTTAGTTCTCTCGTGTGAATTGTATTACATTTGTCATTTCAGGGCTCTTTATAACTTACTATGCGTATGGGTTTTTCTCGTTGTTGAAGCCCGTTTGTTGTTGTTAAATGCTACTTCAGTTGGTCTCTTGAGGAGATTTATCTCATTGTCAATCATACCATATTTTCTCATTTTCATTTTGAAAGAATCTAAGTATAATCAAACAGGACGTGTCTTCCCGGAAGATTCGAAAATAGTTTAATTCTTACACAGTACAACTAAACATTTTGAAGTCCTAGTGGAAATATCACATAATTTTACATTATTAAAGCTGATTAATATTTGATGAAATTACATAAGCACGAACTGGCGAACGGACGGAAAAGGTAATTTTAGTATGCAAATCCATTACGTGAAAGGAGTTATATTTCAAGACGTCAACATTTTGTATTTTACAAACTGAACAGTAATATTCAAAATTAGTAGCTCATTTTTCAGAAATATAAATCATAAAACCAAATAAATCCGTTCTTTTTTAATTATTACTGGTAAAGCAAAATCAATCAGAAAGCGTAAAAAAATTATTTTGGAGAATGTGCATGAAAACGAGCCCATGTTTTGATGACGTTGTACAAAGCTGTGCCTGGGCAGTCAGTGGAACCAACATCTCGATGTCCAAACAAAGCATACGAATGTGAAACTTTCCCTTTGCTGATTCCACATTGAATCAATTCTTTGACAGCATTTAAAGCAGCAGAATTGGGAGCATGGGTCATAAAACTTCCCATAAATGAGGCGGCCAAGCCACGGCTGTTATAACCCTGAGTATGAGCTCCTACTCGATTCCAGCCTCTGCCCTCATAGATTTTCCCATCTTCACCAACTAGGAAGCTGTAACCAATATCGGACCATCCTGGAAATATTACTTAATTATAACTAAATTTGTTTTACAGCAAAATAGGCGTTATGTATAACGCCATTGCAAATACTCGTCATGAGCATGTATGAAATATTTGCCACTGGACGTAAAGCAAACATCAATCAATCATCCATTGTAAATGCATCATCGTATCGTTATTCTTACGTGATTATTACATATGCTTTTAAATATACTTTAAGTGATTGCAAACACTCTTTGATACGCTATCATTTTATATTGTTTTCCATGTCGTTGTGTTTTGATAACCAATTAGGTTCTTGGTAGGCCATTTTTTTTTGGTTCGAATTTCTATGTAACTTTCATTATTTTACCCGTCGTGTTTATCCCAGTAACATGTTAAAGTGCCTCACATTAGTCAAGAATTCTAGATTTACCTTCAGCAGGATGTATAGGTACCGAAACACGTGAACCAAAAGACACAAAAAATAACAAGAAAATCAATCTCAGGTCAACTTTACCTGACGGAGTTGGAACCTAAGTTTCTTAATGATTTCTATCAACGGATTATTTAAAAAAGTTAAATTAAGTTATACGTCATGTCATTACCAAAACACTGACTGCTGAGCTGATGATACCCTCGTAGTCTATCTAACCAGTGCTATACCAACATTTGATAACAACACTTTATAAATTGTATGCGTGCGGAGAGCTTTTCTGGAATTACCTTCATAAGGAACACTCAAAGCCAAAATATTTAAAAGCAAAATATGGTACAAATACCGAAACACGTTAGGAGCTATATGACCAAAGAACCTTACACGCGCTGTGCCTTTCGTGTGTTTTTTATGCTGTGCATGTACTGATTTTGTGTCCTGGATGGATACCCCATATCCTTTGTTTTTCTATAACAGCAGCCATAGCCATCAAAGATGAATTTTACCTAAGGGAATTGGAACCTTAGTTTCTAGTAACGACATATCTAATGCTATACATATTCGTTCTATCCTAGAACAATCAGAGAGTGGAACACCTTGCCCAACTATACTGTCTCCGCCCCGAGTCCTGAATCCTTCAAGGCTCCGCTCCGTCATTAGATTTAAATGCCATGTTTTAATTGCACCTGTATATATATTAAATTGCACCCATTCTCTTTTTGTTTATTAAATTTCAAAAATATTTCATGCGCTCACTCCAAAATGTGGCAGAATAGTCAACCAATTGAAGGTGGCCGTTTACCGGAAGAAGAAGAAGAAGAAGAAGTCCCTAAATTTGAAAATAAGTGGTTATATACCATGTATACGGCATATAAGCATTCTTATGATCCTCTTTTTTTAATTTATTTTGAAATTAAAGGTCATTTAGAGTTTTATTGACATCATTGAATGACTTACTGTGGTTAGAATCATCCATGTGGTAATTTTGTATTCCTTTCATTTGTGAGATACATGCAGAAAATGATGTGCACGCTCCACCTTCAGTATGATGTATAAAGAAGTCAGGAACTGGCGAATGAATAGTCGATGTACTCCTTGGTCTCCGAGCTCCCCAGCTGTCACGTGATATTATCTTCACATTGGAGCAGTCACCAGTATCATGTTCTAAAAACAATTTCAACAATACCTGAGTAATTTTGACAATTAACATTTTTTGGTGGGGTTAATGTTGCTCAGTCATTTGCTTTCTATGTTGTGTTTGGAGTACTGTAGTTTGTCTGTTTGTTTTTTTCTTTTTCAGCCATGACGTTGTAAGTTTATTTTCGACTTATGAGTTTGAATGTCACTTAGGTTTTCTTCGCCTCTCTTTTAAGTCTAATGCCTATAAAGTTTAGATGGTTTTGTTGCTCCGTTCGTTAACGATCCAGAATGTATGTATTTGGCTTAAAAAGTATGGATGAATTAATATACTTTGTGTATGTAAAGTTATAATATGGACATTATTAAAATCTCTAATATCATATTCCACTAGATTTCTTCACTTCTTCATTTAGATCCTTTGAGTAAAACATGTACAGGGGGGATTTGTCATGGGAAAACTAATTCATGTAATTATATTATACCATTGTTAGCCATTCCCATTGTTCGCGCAGAATTCATTAGTAAATAAAAGTAATGATGCATCATATTCCTCATACAATGCTTAAATTTGGCTATCCCGATTTTGATTGGAATATTTCCACAGAAACATTTGTTTAGCATACAAAATGCATCTTACTGTACTTTGCTGTCACTTAATGCTAATTGTCTTAGTCATATGTAAATACGTTTTCTGTAGCTTTAAAAAAAATCAACGTTTTCTGTATATAAATAAAACGTTCTGAAATTTTAAAGATATTTTACAGTACTGCCAACAGATATTTTGCGCTAGATTTAATTCGAAATAGGAATCTTAATGACACGACTTCTTTGAGAGTCAATTGCACCATATGTAATTTACTTCCCGGTTACGTACCTACTGCTGTCCTTGTACAACAACGTCTGTTAGCACTACCAGTACATTTCCCAGAGTTATATGAACCACCACATTTGTTGCTGTCATCCTGACAATGGCCTCCTAAATCTGTACATGGCTGGTCACTGGCTTAAAATGAAGAAACCACTTTTCATGTATTCCTTATCTTTCTTATTCTTTGTATTTGAAGTTTATATGCGGTTTTTAATTTTTTTGGAGGTTAGGGGGGGGGGTATATTTTGTTTTATTTTTTGATTACATAAACACTTAACATACGCTTTATTATCAGTTGTAGTATTCGTGGCCGGATCTGATATTGACTATATACAGACAAACATTGTAGTATGACGACAATAATTGTTACTATGTATATTTTTGTATGAATGTTAAAAAGTTTAATGATCAATATCTCCATTGTTATAAAGTAATGATTGAAATAAAACATGCATGGTTGTGATAAATTTTAGCTCGTTGAAGATAAATTAAACTATGTTTGTTTTGTTGAAATTACTCCGCATGCAGATGTATCGTTATCAAATACAGCAAAAATAAATCTTATCCAACCGTTTCAAAAGACTACCTTGAAGTTGCAGTGTGATTCACACTTTTACTTCATGTTAAAGCCACTACTGAGACTTTGAGAAAAAAAACATCAATAAAAGCAGTTTTCGTTTTGTTTTGATTGATCAAATGCGTGCAAAGATTTTGTGTCCTTAATGTATTCACCATATTCCTTCTTTTCCTCTTTTCATTACTAGTAATTTGTTTACTTGTTCTCGTCCTTAGTTTGCTTGAAGTATTTGTCAATTGGTGTTATGGAAACAACTTTATACAAATTAAAACTAATATTTAAACAAAACAAACAAACACAAGTTTAACACACAAACATAAAAATACAGAATACCAGTTTTGTTCCATTTAAAAAAAGAGTAAATTTCTAATTTAGTTATATACATGTCTGCATTAATGAATTTGTGTGTCAGGATTATTGTTAAAATTGGCACCGATGTGTATTTCATGTTTTAACTTTTACACCATTCAGTTACTGGATTTGTTCTTAAGTCTCCAATTTATCCCTATTTAGTATTCATGATTGCTCTAAATCACTATCAAACATAATCTTCAACTTCTTCGTACTATATTTGGCCTTTTAACTTTTTTTTTCGATCGTCACTGTCTGGCGTACAAAATTATAAGCTTGATGGTTTTTTATATTATTGCTTTTCAGTGGCTGTCCATATTTCCTTCCATTCATCCCTACCGTCCTACCATGTAGTAACTAACTATTGTGTTGTAGTTTCTCGTCTTAGCTGTGCATTAAAGACTTGTCACTGAACGTTAAACAAGCAACAATCAATCAATCTAATTAATATAAATGAATACCTGCAAATATGATATATCATATATTATTTATAAATCCTACCTAGGCTGTATCCAGTAATAGCTAGCAGAAGAATCAAGCACAACATTTTGCTCATACGTATTAACTTTATACAAGATTATTCGTCATTTGGAACATTCTCAGACGTGATAAGAAATTTAAACGATCTAAGTGTGTCTTTAGCATGTCCGTTAAACACGCATTATACCTAACACTGATAAAGTAATAGCCGTTCTCGAAAATTATACTAAATATTTTAGCTCTGTGTGTGTGTGGACTCGATATTTCATCATGTTGTGTGTTTGCGTGTATTCGTTGACATTTAAGCCATGCGTGTATATATATGCATTACGGAAAGTTTCACTTCACAAATAGTAGAACTTAGTCGATTCTTATCCATGTATTTATTTCAATTTTTTAAATAACAAGTAAATATATACGATAAAAAATATAAAATTGAGAATGGAAATGGGGAATATGTCAAAGAGACAACAACCCGACCAAAGAGCAGATAACAGCCGGAGGCCACCAATGGGTCTTCAACGCAGCGAGAAAATCCCGCACCCGGAGGTGGTCCTCAGCTGGCTCCTAAATAAAATTGTGTACTGGTTCAGTGAAAATGGACGTCACACTAAACTCCAAAACATACAAGGAACTAAAATTAAAAAATTATACAAGACTAACAAAGGCCAGAGGCTCCTGACTTGAGACAGGCGCAAAAATGCGGCGGGGTTAAACATGTTTTGTGAGATCTCAACCCTCCTCCTATACCTCTAGCCAGTGTAGAATAAAGAAACACATAGCAATACACACACAGTAAAACTCAGTTCAAAAGAAGTCCGAGTCTGATGTCAGAATAGGTAACAAAAGAAACTAAGCAAAATGACAATGATACATAAATTAAAAAAGGACTACTAGCAGTTACTGACATGCCAGCTCCAGACCTCAATTAAACTGATTAAAAGATTATGTCTTCATCATATGAAAATCAAGTACAATCCCTCCCGTTAGGGGTTTAGTATTATACCATCATAAAACATATGAGAAGAACATAACACTTTTAGTGAAAACTAGCAAGATTACAAGTCTAATTGATCATGTTTTACTTTCTTGTAATTATTTTCTTGTCATCAGTTCAAACACAATCGATAACCTTCATATGATTTAATCTTTTAATGATTTAAACTTAAGGTCAAACACAACTAGTGTAACGTAAAGTATCCAAAATACCTGGGGCCGTGTCAACAAGCTGTCTTAGGTCTAGGACGTGTCTTAGGATGGTCTTATGACACGTCTTAGTCTTAATTCAGGTTAACGAAAGTCTCCTAAGAAAAGATATGTCAAAAATTTGGTTCTTAAGTTAGGATATATTCATAGGTGTCTTAGGATAGTCCTAAAAGTTAGGGTGCCCTAAATCGAAATAAAAACAACAAATATGGCCTTTAGTCAGTATTTGGAGGGTTTATCTCTGTGTTGATACTATGTCTTCTCCTTAATATTATTCGTCGCCACATTTGATAGCTTGCTGAATAAAATTCCCCTATGCTTATTTACTTTGGCAAGCAGAATTTAACAATAATAATAATTTCTTTTATTTCAAACATATTAAGTCAAAAGACTAGTTTACAATAAGGTCCTGCATTATATACATGTATAACAACATAAAGTGTAAAATTCAATACAAAAATACTAATAATACTGCCCTTTTTAAGCTTAAAAATTCTATCAATATTAGAAACATTTTGCACCTGACCAAATTAAATTGTACAACAATAATTGAAATGTGGAAAAATATGAACTTCTTTTCTTACTAAGGCTGATTCAATACATGTGATGAAATCGAGTGGACCTACGGACAAAACTACTTTATATAGCTTAAATTGCAGCACGATAATAGCCTGTCACAAAGTTTTGTGACAATTTAGTTTAACTGTTGCATGAAATTTATTTATCATTTTTAATAGTATATATTAATAATGTATCTAATTAGTATTACGTAAAAACATTATTTTGCGTTTTTTCCCCGATAAAATATGTAACCTCCCACCCTTCATTTAATTCTCTACATATTTTTTTTAATTAAATATAAGACCATCCTAAATAATGTCCTAAGACATATCTTAGGACATATCCTAGGATACTGTCATTGACATGGCCCCTGATGTATAAGTGTGTGTTATTGTGTGTTCGTGCGCGCTAATGCCTTACACCAAATTTATTTTAACCTACTGTTTATAGTATCTTGGAATAAAACCAAACTACGGAAACTTAACATTGACCAATGAACCATGAAAATAAGGCCAAGATCAGATGACCCCTGCCAGACAGACATGAACACGTGATAACAATTCAATACACAAATTATAGTTGACATACTGCTTATAGTATCTGAGAAACAGTTATTGCAGGGATCACATATACAAAATATGATTATCCTATTACTAATAATCAGTGAGAAAATATGAAAATGAGGTCAAAGACAATGGACATATGACAGACGGATACTTTGTAACATAAGAAAATGTGTACAACGTATGAAGCATCTAGGTCTTCTACCTTCTAAGATATAAAGCTTTATAAAAATAGTTTACGCCGCCGCTTCATAAGCGTCGCAGGTAAGACAAAAATGACAAATAAATCTTTAAGAAAAAATACTTTTGCAGTAATAAAGCAAATGAAACACATGCAACGCTTAGGAATGGAATGTAAAAGTAACGGTATATCCTTCTCTCTCTCTCTCCTTAGAGTTCCTAGTGGTAATGCTATAAGAATGTTTCTAGTGGTAATGCTATAAGAATGTTCCTAGTGGTAATGCTATAAGAATGTTCCTAGTGGTAATGCTATAAGAATGTTTCTAGTGGTAATGCTATAAGAATGTTCCTAGTGGTAATGCTATAAGAATTTTCCTAGTGGTAATGCTATAAGAATGTTCCTAGTGGTAATGCTATAAGAATGTTCCTAGTGGTAATGCTATACGAATGTTCCTAGTGGTAATGCTATACGAATGTTCCTAGTGGTAATGCTATAAGAATGTTCCTAGTGGTAATGCTATAAGAATGTTCCTAGTGGTAATGCTATAAGAATGTTCCTAGTGGTAATGCTATAAGAATGTTCCTAGTGATAATGCTATAAGTATGTACCTAGTGATAATGCTATAAGAACGTACCTAGTGATAATGCTATAGGAATGAACGTAGTGGTAATGCTATCAGAATGTTCCTAGTGGTAATGCTATAAGAATGTTCCTAGTGGTAATGCTATAAGAGTGTTCCTAGTGATAATGCTATAAGTATGTACCTAGTGATATTGCTATAAGAACGTACCTAGCGATAATGCTACAGGAAAGAACGTAGTGGTAATGCTATCAGAATGTTCCTAGTGGTAATGCTATAAGAATGTACTAAGTGGTAATGCTATTAGAATGTTCCTAGTGATAATGGTATAAGAATGTTCCTAGTGATAATGCTATAAGAATGTTCCTAGTGATAATGCTATAAGAATGTTTCTAGTGGTATATCTTTATGGATGTTCTGAGTGATAATGCTATAAGAATGTTCCTAGTGATAATGCTATAAGAATGTTCCTAATGATTATGCTTAACAAATGTTTCCTAGCGATAATGCTATTAGAATGTTCCTAATGATAATGCTATAACAAAGCTCCTAGTAATAATGCTATCAGAATATTTCAAATGGTAATGCTATAAGAAAATACCTAGTGATAATGATATAAACAATGTACCTTATATTGCTTTAAGAATATTCCTAGTGATTATGCTATACAAATGTTCCTAGTGATTATGCTATACAAATGTTCCTAGTGATTATGCTATAAGAATGTTCCTAGTGATAATGCTATGAAATTTCCCAGTGATTATGCTATAAGAATGTTACTAGTGATAATGCTATAAGAATGTTCCTAGTAATAATGCTATAAGAATGTACCTAGTGATAATACTATAAGAATGTTCCTAGTGATAATGTTATAGGAACTTACCTTGTGATAATGCTATAGGAATCTACCTAGTGGTAATGCTATCAGAATGTTCTTAGTGGTAATGCTATAAGAATGTACCTAGTGGTAATGCAATCAGAATGTTCTTAGTGATAATGCTATAAGAATGTACCTAGTGATAATGCTATAAGAATGTTTCTAGTTCCTAGTAATAATGCTATAAGAATGTACCTATAGATAAAGCTATAAGAACGTTTCTAGTTGTAATGCTTTAAGAATGTTTCTAGTGATAATGCTATAACAATGTTCCTAGTGATAATGGTATCAGAATGTTCCTAGTGATAATACTATAAGAATGTTTCTAGTGATAATGCTATAAGAATGTTCCTAGTCATAATGCTATAAGAATGTTCCTAGTGATAATGCTATCAGAATGTTTCTAGTGAAAATGCTGTAGGAATGTTCCTAGTGATAATGCTAAAAGAATGTTCCTAGTAATAATGCTATAAGAATGTTCCTAATGATTATGCTTTACAAATGTTTCTAGTGATTATGCCATAAAAATGTTCCTTGTGATAATGCTTTGCGAATTTCCCTAGCGATATAGCTATTACAATGTTCCTAGTAATAATGCTATAACAAAGCTCCAAGTAATAATGCTATTAAAATATTTCGAATGGTAATGCTATAAGAAATATCTAGTGATAATTATAAAAACAATGTACCTTATATTGCTATAAAAATGTTCCTAGTGATTATGCTATACAAATGTTCCTAGTGATTATGCTATACAAATGTTCCTAGTGATTATGCTATACAAATGTTCCTAGTGATAATGCTATGAGAATTTCCCAGTCATAATGCTATAAGAATGTTCCTAGTGATAATGCTATAAGAAAGTTCCTAGTGATAATGTTATAAGTGTACATTGTGATAATGCTATATGTGTACCTAGTGATAATGCTATAAGAATATTTCTAGTGATAATGTTATAAGAACGTAGCTAGTGATATTGCTATAGGAATGTACCTAGTGATAATGCTATCAGAATGTTCCTAATGGTAATGCCATAAGAATGTTCCTAATGATTATGCTAGAAGAATGTACCTAGTGGTTATAATATAAGAATGTCCCTAGTGATCATGCTATAAGAATGTACCTAGTTATAATGCTATTAAAAAGTTACTAGTTATAATGCTATAAGAATGAACCTAGAGATAATGCTATAAGAATGTTTCTAGTGGTAATGCTTTAAGATTGTTTCTAGTGATAATGTTATAAGAATGTTTCTAGTGGTATATGTTATAGATAATGCATATTTTAAGGTTTTTCTTGTCGTAGAACACACCGAGGGGTGTCAAGATTGGTCAAATGAAAG